ACCTGAATTCAACTTTTGAATATTTAAACTATTGAAAAAGCTTCCTAGCGATGTTCATAGTCCTACCAATACAAAATTGGTTAAAATTTGGCGATCAATGTGAATATTGTTATAATGAAAACACAACAAATTAATTGACTGACACGAAAGATAAAAATGGAATGAACAAACAGATAATAATTACCTTAATGTCTTATCCGCATCAGACACCCCTTCAACCTCGTCCCATAAACCTAAGTTTTGGCAAGAACTTGCTCGTGTATGATGATGAGTGTTGGAATGGTGATTATAGGTAGAAATCTCATCACCACCAAAACTGCATGCAGTATCCTTCTCGACGCGGGTGTTCAGAGGCCTCGGTAGGTCACAGTTCTCTATGCAATCGAGTGATCTCCGTGCAACAAAAGAAGCCAATTTGTCTGTATCCGCCGTCCTCCACCACGGAGTATTATTTCCCTCAGCCCCGACCCAAGCTGACGCGGACTCAAAATACATCTCGTTTTCGTTCTTCGAAGCCACACAACCAAAACCATCATCAACTTTTAGTTTTTCAACATCCCCTTTGATTTTACATTCTTGAAAATCCAGATCATGGCCTTCAACAAGAAAAAATTGTTCATCCATCGATACATTCAGATACTTGCTATGTGGTTGAAGTTGTAGCCACCAAGATTCGGAGATAAATTGGATCACGGAGGTTTCACAATAGAGGCTGTATCAGGATTATATTGGGCTGCAAATGCACTAGTAGGATTGGAAATAGTTTGTTTCTTGTGAAGGAACACTGGTGGGCAAGCTAATTGGGGAGCTCTTTTAGCATCTTTTTCTTGGGGCCAAACATCGTTTGACTGTCATCTGCCAAGCGCAGCCCTGGCTTTTGCAAGGGCCATTACCCACCCATTCTGAGATGAAAATTTTCAATGCGATTCAATTTAGTTTTTGTTCAAACAAACATGCAATTTAAATAAAAAAAAAAACAAATAAATAACAGGAATATGATTCACCCACATTAACTCTTCCTCCCATGAAATAATTTTCGCAGAAAAGTCATAAAAAATTTCACCAACCATTATTACATGGTGTATCTCACAAACTCAGAGTACTCACTAAAATTTCCAATCAGCTACCATACCCTGCTACTTATTTATATTTTAACATTTCTACATCAGAAGAACTTTCATCTTTACATTCTCGACAGCATTAGTTATCCTGCATTCATCCATTTTCTTCCTTCCATCGTCGATATTATTTCTACCAATCAAGTCTTCGACATTTTCTCATTTTGTCCCATGTTATGCCTAGGGCATTAACTATTAACAACAAGGACAAAACCATAACCAAATACATGTTAAATTTGATACACCAAGTGACAAATAATGGGGATTATCAAGTATCAGCTATGCAAGCTGACATTACCAGTTTACCACCGAAAGCACACTAGCTCTTCGCAGTTTCTGCTGCGTCAAGCTGCCATTAATTCAAGAATTCAAGCAGAACATAGCGCAATTTCCCTTCACGATTAATCGGTACAACAACACTATGATTCGCAGGATGATATAAACGATCAAAGATGACAGTTCAAAGTAAATCTTCATAAGCGTACTCACCCATTCAAATCTATTCACCTAAACTAACAAATTACATGTAATTTATCAACAAAAGATTCAAGAACATTCCATATAAAACAGTACGAGTGAGAAAAGGCGAAAACAAACCTGAAAACAGCAGTTTCAAGTGAAACGAGTAAAGAGAAACATAGGGAGAGATGGATATGGCTGGAACGAAGAATCTTATGCCGCAAGAGACGGATTTTCCTCACTAATAAGAGAGTGGGAGAGAGAATTTTTGGGCTTTCGGTTTCTGGATATTCAAATGAGTGCAGCGGTTTTGTTTCCTTTCGGGCTATGCTGCCAATGTTCTCTATGATCTTTCGTGCGCGCAAGGGTCAACCAAATTAGGCCAAAAAGCAAAGGTTCTCAAAACCGAATCGATGAATCTATCGGTTCAATAGTTCACTGATCGAATCGATCGAAACGTTTTAACTAATGTATAATTTTTATTATTTTATATGTATAATATATTTTTGTTATTAATTTTTTAGTGTACAATGACATTTTTTAAATAAATAAAGAAAAAAAACAAATAAATAATCTTGCATATTCTAATTATTTTAGCTACCGTGCTTGATTTCAAGTATAGTTTTATAGAGTTATACTCTCATACTCACGGTGGGCACATTTTAATATGTCCATCGCTTATGTGATATGCACATATTAGTGATGTATTCTTTTGAACATATTAATATCATCAATGTGTGCATGTCACATAAACGGTGGACATATTATCATGTGTCAACCGTGGGTAGGTGAGCATTATTATAGTAATCCATATGTATTGTATTATATTACTTTCTTCATTCTTTGAGAAAAGATTTTTTTAGAGAAAATTACACTCATTACAATTGCTTATGGAAATAATATCAAAATTACGAGCAGATAAACTTTTCATCAAAATTACGTGTTCTCTACATGAGAATTTTTTAGCAATTAATGTGGCTATCTGTTCTCTCTCTCTCTTTCTCTCCCTCATCTATTACGTGTTCTCTCTCTGTCTCTCTTTCTCTTTCTCTCCATAACCCTCATCTTTTTCTTCTTCTTTCATTCTTTCGATCCTTGATTTCTTGTCTATAATTTCTCACAGCACACAATTTCACAAATTTTAGAAATTACCTTTCAATTTTGAATCCATGGAGATCCACTTCGATGGGGCTATGAGCGGCAGTGCAACGCACGAGGCCCGGACTGACGAAGGCTCTCAAAGGTGATGCTTGCCTGACCTGAGTGCGCGGTTGCCCGACCCAACGACTGTGTGAAAGTGGACGGTAGGCAAAAACTCGAAATTATTTGCAGTAATCTATTTTCTCGTCTATCGAACTATATGAGAAGGGGGTTACAAACAAAAACATTCATGAAGGGAAGGCAAAGAAAGCGAACCTTCAAGCCCCGAGCCAAGTCGAATCTCGATTGTTTAGAATCTCAATTTTTTTTAATATCAAGGTGTATTACGTTTTTACTCCATTTCAGAATTGTTTACATGTTGTTTATCTTATGTATAATTATACAGTTAACATTAGAGAACTGTGAGATCATGTTTATTTGATGTGTATATACAATATATTTGAACACTATTTTGTTGTTATTAGGTAGTATATGTACAGCATATCTAATTTTTCTTATTGAAGGAGATATTACAGAGAACTATATTATCTGAATTTTTTGCTTTCCAATCCCTGATATCAAAGGAAATTTTGCAGTCATTTAGAATTGTGTATTATGTTTTAGTCCATTTCAGTGTTGTTTATATGTTGATTATTTTACGTATAACTATATAGTTAATTTACATATTTTTTACATGTTGTTTATGTTATGTATATATACAGTATATATGAACATATTTTCACGATCAATTTCACTAACTCATATTTTGACGGGCTGGCATGGTTATTATTTTGGTGAGAGAAACAGATTTCTTGGAAAGAGAAAGGATTTTGAAGAGAGAAATAAATTTGTAACTATCATTAATGGCATGATTTTTATTAATGGCATGGTTTTTATTTTGGTGAGAGAACTATACTTATTGGACAGAGAAGCAATTGGAGAGAGAAACAAATTTGGAGAGAGAATCAACTGTTTTTCATGCGGGAATTTCGGTCATGATTAATATATGGAGAGAGAGAGAATCAAAATCTCAAAATCTCGTACAAATGAGATTAAAATCACTTTTCCATCCTCTTTTGATTAATGTTTTGCAAGAGTTACATATATGTAGATATTCATGGACATATTGTTATGTATGTAATTTTCCCATTTTTTTATGGTTTTGGGCATGACAACATTCTTTAAGAACTTTTGAAGACGAAGGCTTTATTTATTTTTTTGTAAGTAAAGCTCAATAAGACAAAAGGCCTAATAATTTCAAGCATTAACAAAAGAGGGGAAAATTTTATAATGGTCCTAGTTTGACAACAATATTCCGCAATAATTATAGGGCACACACAATTACATATATACTCCAAAATTGGACACTATTAATAAAATGGAAAAAACTGTATGGCTACAGTTTTCTCCCTCTATGGCTACAGTTTTTTCTCTCTTCCCAAGCTTTTCAATTTTTTTTTTTCTTTTCTTCTTCCTCCTCTCTTTTTCTTCTTCTTCTCTCTTCTTCTTCTTCTCCTTTAAAAACCTAACAATAAAAATAACAAAAAAATATTAATCAACTAGTTATATACATAAATAAAAATTAAATTAACTAAAAGCAATAGAAAAATTTATTAAATTAAAATTTTAAAGATAATAATAAAAAATATATATATATATATATATATAGCCTGCAGAATTCACTGACCTCCCTCTTAGTCTCCGAGTAGATAAGTCCTTATCCGCCCTGATGTCCCATTCTTGGGAATCTTGGGAACACGACATGCAAGCACTTGTTCAGTGAAGTCAAAAGTATTTAGAAGGCTCGATGTAATTGACCTCGTCAAGGAGTGGAGAAAGAACCAGCTGTCAGGTACTTGTACCAAAGGCGACCGGGCCCTACCTACTGCTATTGACTGATCACTTATACTGCCCCAAACGTCTGATTGCATTTTCCAACTGAAATGGAATATTACTACCGAAATCGAGACCCAAAGTAGGTTTGACTGAAGCAGACCTATAATGGACAATAAGAGAATAGAAATGAACCGTTCCGTGGTCATGAAATATGATTTTTGATATTCATATTTCCCAATGACCTTTCGACAACAAGTGGTAGGCCCTATTTATCAACTTAGGTCGAACCTGGTTAACCCAAACCAAATTCCTCAACAGAAGTTTTTATCCGATCGATGATACTATCGGCTTTTCCGCTCCGTGTCGGAAGTCATATTGAATTCCATAATTTAGTATAGAAAGGACGAGGAACTCCTGGAAGAAAAGAAAGGTCACTTTTGCTAAACACACATGTGGTAGCGTAGTGATGTGGTGGTAGTTGCCCGACCATCGGATCAGGAAGAGAGTCAAGGACTTGCCCTTTCGTCCAGTAGAGACTCACAAGCCCTCCTCTCCTTTCAGTGGACGAGCTATCAGATCTTGTGCTTCTTTCCCTTCGCCCCTTGGCTTCGTTCAATCAAAAGCATTTCTCGCCCGTGTTTTTTTTCTAACGTTTTAATAAATCTTTATTGTATTGTCTTCCCGGCTAGCGAACCTCAGGAGAGATGCTCTACGTACAACTTGAACTTGATAGGTCAATCAAAGCAGGTGAATGTGCCTTTTGCCGAGAAAAAAGGGCATTGGAAGAAGAACTGCTCAAAGCTGTTGAGGATCGATGTAATTGAGAAAGCCCTTGATCGAATGGGATCGAATGGCGGGGTCTGCTGGGATTCCCAAAGTTATTACTCGAAAATTTTTATAATAATAAGTCAAGTCAAGAATAATAATCGAACAGGAGGGTGCACAAAATAGCTCGACCATAGTACGATGCATATCCCTACTAGTTTTCCAAATTAATCCCGCGGCGGTCTTAACGAGCCAAGTGCCATCGATTTAGCTCTTGGAAGAAGAATTTTAATAAGTTTCGGGCTC